GATGGATGGATGGATGGATGGATGGATGATGGATGGATGGAGGGATGATGGATGGATGGATGGATGGATGATGGATGGATGGATGATGGATGGATGGATGGATGGATGGATGGATGGATGGATGGATGGATGATGGATGGATGATGGATGGATGGAGGGATGGATGATGGATGGATGGAGGGATGGATGGATGATGGATGGATGGATGGATGGATGGATGGATGGATGGATGGATGATGGATGGATGATGGATGGATGATGGATGGATGATGGATGGATGGATGGATGGATGGATGATGGATGGATGATGGATGGATGGATGGATGGATGGATGGATGGATGGATGATGGAGGGACGGATGATGGATGGATGGATGGATGGATGGATGGATGGATGATGGATGGATGGATGGATGGATGGATGGATGGATGGATGATGGATGGATGATGGATGGATGGATGGATGGATGGATGGATGGATGGATGGATGGATGATGGAGGGATGGATGGATGGATGGATGATGGAGGGATGATGGATGGATGGATGGATGATGGATGGAGGGATGGATGGATGGATGGATGGATGATGGATGGATGGGTGGATGATGGATGGATGGATGATGGATGGAGGGATGGATGGATGGATGGATGGATGGATGGATGGATGGATGGATGATGGAGGGATGATGGATGGATGGATGGATGATGGATGGAGGGATGGATGATGGATGGATGATGGATGGATGGATGATGGATGGGGATGGATGGATGATGGATGGGGATGGATGGATGATGGAGGGATGATGGAGGGATGGGGAAACTTGGATCCCACTTGGAGGAAAGGTGCCAGAGCAGAGCTGGCCGCTGGGCTGGGATGTCAGTGCACCCACCTGAGCATTCCTTGGCCAGGCAGAGGCTCCTGCATTGATGTCCCAGCTTCTCCATGGGGTTGTCACAGGGAATGGCTTCAAACTGCCAGAGGGCAGGGATGGATGGGATATTGGAAATAATCCTTCCCTGTGAGGGTGGGCAGGCCCTGGCACAGGGTGCCCAGAGAAGCTGGGGCTGTCCCTGGATCCTTGGGAGTACATCCAGGCTATTCCAGGCCCCCTTGGATGGGGCTTGGAGCAGCCTGGGACTGCCATGGCAGGGATGACACTGGCTGGGCTTTAATGTCCCTTCCAAACCAAACCATTGCAGGATTTTATGCCCCAGGAGAGTTGGGAAAGTGGGTCACTTGTAACCCATGGATTACATCCCATGGGAAGGGTTTTGCCAAGGCTGCAGCTCCTCCAGGAGGGGGGCACAGCCTGAGGTGCTGAGGTGAGATCACCTCTCTGCACAAAGGGTTTCAAGACGCCAAGGAGCTCTGGGAGTGTGGAGTCCAGCAGTTGGGAAATTCTCCATGGAGGAAAACTCTTCAAACATAATTTTTTTAATACTTTGGATTTATCAAAATGCCTCATTCTGATTTTAGCTTTTTCCATTTTGAAGAGGGGCCAAGGTCCTATCACAGTGTGTTACCACACAGGGTATAACATTTGCAAGAGCAAAATGAAAAATCAGTTTGAACTGGAAAATCATGGCAATGTCATGAAAACAAAGGAAACGGGACATTCTGATGTTGTCAAATCCTTTTTTCTCTGGTTCCTTTCAAAATCAGCTTCCAGCAAAACCAGCAGGATTTTATGAGGCATTTTAGTTTTTGGCAGAGCCCCTGGCTCTGGCGCAGCAGGTTTGTGGTGCTTTCTGTGGTCGGGCCCAGACACTCTGAGCCCCCATTCCTGGGGGGAAAAGGGGGTGCAATGTGTCCCCCAGCCCTCCCCACCCCTTGGGGGTCCCCCTCTGCCCCCATTTTAAGGCATTAAAATAACCTACAAGTCGAGCTCCTACAACATTTAAGTGTCAGTTATTAATTTTGTGTTTTAACCCCTGCATTCTTCCTTTTGATCAGGAATGTATCAAATACTAGAGATTTTTTTTTTAAAGAAGCAGAAAATGATGATATTAATTTTCCTTACTGAATACCTGGAGTGCCACAGTCAGGGTTTGGGCTCTGCTGATGCCTTTGAGGGTGCTGGCAATGGCAGGGCTGGTCCCTGTCCCCCTTTTTTCCCCGTCCCAGCTGCAGTTTGGCTTTGGGAAGAAGTTGGTGCCCTCCTGGCCACCCACGGTCCTCTTGGACCCAGGAGGATTTGGCTTTCTGTCATACCTGGGAGATCCATGTCAGATAACACTGGCAGGCTTTCAAAAGCTTCTCTCCAGCTTCCCTGCCAAGACCTATAGGATGTGTTCCAGAGCATCTCCCAGGAATGTTTGTTATTATGACAGGCAAAAAAAAAAAAAAAAAAAAAAGAAAAAGGTGGTTTAAAAAAAAAAGCCAGTGAAAGAGGACATTGCTGTTAATCACCAGCGATCCTTTAATAAGCACCATTACTATAAATTGTGTGTGCATTGTGGGGGCACAATCGAGGGCTCTGTTGTGGCTGCCCACGTTGGGGCAGGAGCAGGAACAAAGTGCTGTTGTTGCAGGGGCTGGGATGGATGGCATGCGGGTGCAGTGGGGCTGCTCCTGCATACCTGTGCCCGTGGAGATGCTGGGCTGCTCCAGAGCCCATGAAAGCCCCATTGTTCTTGCTGCCATATTGCACACTCCATGATTACAGAGCCTTGGATGAGTCCCTGGTTGCAATAATAACCTATTCTTAGCTCTAGCACTGCTATATTTAAGATTTATATATATTTAAATGCTGGTAATTGCACATTTGGGACATATTGTAATTTGGGTGACAGCTTGGAAAGACAGTGGTGGGAAGAAAAGCATCAGCTGTGTTTGGGGAGGTGAATCCTGGGGTCATGCAGGGCAGGGTGATCCGTGGGGATTTCAAACAAGGGCTGGGACCTCTCTGGAGCAGCCTCAGGATGGGCAGGGATCCCACCAGGGTTGCAGATCCATCCCTGGGAGTGTCCAAGGCCAGGTTGGACAGGGCTTGGAGCAGCCTGGAGCAGTGGAAGGTGTCCCTGCCCATGGAAGGGGTGAAGCCAAATGGGCTTTAAGGTCCCTTCCAACCCAAACCATTGCATGATTCCATGAGATCCAGGCAATCCCAGTTTCTACTTCCATGTCTGAAGCTGAAATATTCTTTTTTTACTCCTTTTGTGCCTTCTCACTGTGAAAAAAGGCGTTTCCCTCCCACAGTGGGGTGCTGGGTTACTTCAGCCCAAACTGTGGTTCAGGTGTGAAGTGAGGCTGCAGTGTCAGGGGCAGCAAGTCCCTCACAGGTTTTGTAGGAGTTTTTACATCCTTAATACATTCTGTGTTTATATTGATGCAAACATCGGTGGCACACAGCTATGGATTTTAAATGGAGTGTTTGATGTTGCACTGATTAGCTTTGCTGTAAAAAAAAAAAGGTAGTCTTCATCCAGTGGATCTAAATTGTGTTCTTGAGTAGATTAGGGCAGGTTTGGGGAAAAGTGGACAGAAATTTGGACAGAAGCCTTCAGGTATCGAAAAACCACCCAAAAGATTCCAAGAGAAAAACTGCAAACATTCAGGTTGCCTAGGTTCTGTTGGTAGAAATAATTTATTTGGTTTTGGGTGTTTTTCGCTTAACTGATCAACTGCTGGGGGATTAATTGCCCAGATTAATTTTTGCTTATTAGCGAAGCCTTCAGGCTGGCTCCAAGCTTTTCCTCCAGCAGGTTCCCACCGATCCATCCCAGGGTGGGGGAACTTCCCCACATCCCTGGGATGGAGCGAGGATGGGCAAAGCCGTCCTGCTCCGAACCCGGCTCTCGCCTCCCTGGCCGCGCGGGAATGGCTGTTTTATAGGCATTTATTTATTCATTCTGTATTCGGGGAAGGGTTATTGTGATGGGTCCCAACCCGGGGTGCCCCACGGGCACTGTGTGGCCGTGGGGCGGGACACGCGGCCGCGGCTCCCCCCGCTCCCGGCGGCGCTGCTGGTGGCCCGGGCCGGTCCGTGTCCCCCCGTTCGCTCCCCCGTTCGCTCCCCAGCCCGCGGTGCCGGCGCGGTCCCGGCCCCGCCGTTCATTCACGGCCGCGCCGGGCTGGGAGCGGGGCGGGGCCCGCGCCGCGCGCCGGCCAATGGGAGACGGCGGCGCCGCGCGTCACGCGGCCGCGGGCCAATGGGAGCGCGCCGGGCCTGAACTTTTGCCACGGCGGACAAGTTGATACATCGCGGGGGTGTGTCCGGCGCGCGGCCCGCGGGGGGGCCGTTAACCCCCTCGCTGCCGTGACCCACTTTCGCCGCGCCGCGCTCGCCCACCCCCCCCGCCCCGCGCCGCCGCTCCCCGCGGGGCGACCCCCCCTCATCCCGCCCCACGGCAGCGCGGGGCCGCGCGGGGCCGGCGGCGGGCGGGCGCGGGGCGGCGCGGGGCGCGGGGCGCTTTAAGCGGTCGGAAACCCGAGCCGGTGTTTGCGCAAGGGGCCGGTGCCGCGCGGAGCCGCCGGAGTGTCTAGACTGGCACATGATGGGCGGCAGCCAATGGCGGCGCCGCTCGCGAGGGGCCCCGCGCGCGCGCCCCGGCCACACAAAAGCCGGCGAGGGGCGGGCGGGCGCGAGCGGGCGGCGGCGGCGGCCCCGGGAGCCGCGCACGGAGCGCGGGGACCCGCCGGACCGGGGCCGCGCCCTGCGATGCGGACAAGGGACGCGCTGACAACCGGCCTGCGCTGCGGGCTCTGCTGCTGCTGCTGCTTCGCCTTTCTGATTTAATTTTTTCCCCCTTTTTTTTTTTAATTTTTTTTTTTTACTTTTTTTTTTTTAAATACTATTTTTGGCTGAAGGGATCCGACGCCTCCGAGCGGCCCCCGGCGCCGGTTCCCCGCCGGGCGGCACCCCCGCGCCGGGCGCGCTTCCCCGCTCCTCCCCACCTTGTATGGTGGAGCGGCCGCGGGGCGCAGCCGAGCGCTGCCCCGGGCTCCCCCCGGCCCTCGCCCCCGCCGCTCCCCGCCCGGCCCCGCGTTGGCAGCCGATGTAGGGCACGGCGCGGCGCGCCCGAGCCCCAGCGCCGCCACGGGAGCGGCCCCCGCGGCGCCGTCTATGCCCGCGCCGCCCCGCCGCCCCCCCCATGGTGCGGCCCCGCCGCGGGCCGTCGGAGATCCGCTGGGCAGCAGCGCCGCGGGGAGTCCGGGCTGCTCCGCGGCTGCGATGAGATAGAGCCGGCGGCGGAGCGAGGAGCCCCGCGGAGGAGGGCGGGGGGCGGCGGAGAGCGACGCGACCCCCGGCCGCCCGCGGGTCGTATGTTCAGGTCCAAACGCTCAGGGCTGGTGCGGCGACTTTGGAGGAGCCGCGTCATTCCGGACAGGGACGGCGGAGATGGGAGCGCCAGGAGCGGCCACGACCTCGGAGCCACCGGCAGCTGCAAGATCGCGGAGAAAAGCCCCTCGGTGGAGCTCCGCGCGGTAGCGCGCAGCCTGCTGCTGCGGGAGCCGGAGGAGCGGCGCGGGGCGGCGGGCGAGGCGGCGCCGCGCGGGGACCCCATGGCGGAGCGGCGCGGGGCCCGGCTCCGCGCCCCCGGCTCCGCGCCGGAGAGCGACGGGCGGACCGTGACCTGCTGCCTCTTCTCGGAGCGGGAGCCGGGCGGCCCCCAACCTCCCCCCGCCGCCGCCCCCGGCCCCGACGGCGCGGCCGACGGCGGCTCCCCGGAGCGGCGGGGCCGGGAGGCGCGGGCGCGGCTGCTGCTGCTGGAGCAGGAGCTGAAGGCCGTCACCTACTCGCTGCTGAAGCGGCTGAAGGAGCGCTCGCTGGACAGCCTGCTGGAGGCGGTGGAGTCCCGCGGGGGGATGCCCGGCGGCTGCGTCCTGGTGGCCCGCACCGAGGTGCGCCTGGGGGGCCTGGCGGCGCCCCCGCACCTCCTCCTGGGCAAGCTGTTCCGCTGGCCCGACCTGCAGCACCCCGCCGAGCTGAAGCCCCTCTGCGAGTGCCAGAGCTTCGGCGTCGCCGACGGACCCACGGTCTGCTGCAACCCCTACCACTTCAGCCGCCTCTGTGGGCCAGGTGAGCAGCGGCGAGTTGGGTCCCCCCCGCCACAAACACGCACCGATTTGGGGGTTCGGGGTTTCTGACCCCTCCCTGGGTTTATCCGAGCCCTGGCGGGCAGCGCTGCCCCGGCCCCGCGCTGTTGCGGGGATGCCCGGGGGGACGCGCCCGCTCCGGGGTCCCCGCCGGGCATCCCCCCCCTCTGGGAACCAGCGCTTCCAGTTGTGCGTTCAAAGCCCTTTCTCTTTATTGGTTTTTTCCCCTTCCCGCGGAGTTCCCCCGCTCTCCGGGAGCCGGACGGGCGATAATCGGCGGCTCCATCCCGCTGGCGCCAGCCTGGCTCGCTCCTATCGGAGCCGGGCGGTCACCGCCGCCGGCTTAAAGCCGCAGGCGCTTCGGGGGGGCTGCGGGGATGTCCCCGCCGCGGGGATCCCCGCACCCGCGGGGACTTCGGGGGCTCCTGCAATTCTCCAGGGTTTCTCTCTTTTTTTTTCTTTTTTTTTTTCTTTTTTTACCGTGGGCAGAGATGAGCGTTTTCAAGGCGTGGGTTTGGGATTGTTGAGGGTTTTTTGTTTTTTTCAGCAGTACTCGATTGTGTGTCCGTGTCAGCAGGGAATGGTTACACGGAGCAGAGACATGTTGGAGTTTGAGGTGCAGAAACGGAAATAATATTTAATAGGCTGTACAAAAACTGTAATGAGAATGGACAGCTGGATTCCCACTGCCAAGAGGGCAGGGTTAGATGGGATATTGGGAAGAAATTCTTCCCTGGGAGGGTGGGCAGGCCCTGGCACAGGTGCCCAGAGAAGCTGGGGCAGCCCCTGGATCCCTGGAAGTGTCCCAGGCCAGGTTAGATGGGGCTTGGAGCAGCCTGGGACACTGGAAAGTGTCCCTGCCCATGGCAGGGGTGGAAGGAGATGATTTTTTATGTCCTTTCCAATCCAAACCATCCTATGATTCTATGCTGACTGTCCCCTTTTTTTGGCAAGAACTTTGATTTTATTATTTCTGTTGCAATCTGGGCTCCTGCCTCGCTTTGCATCACTTCTTTCAAAGAAACTTCTCTTCTGGGCGTGCTTCTCCCGAAGGTCGCTAGAGGCTGGAGGCAGCTCTTTGACTCCAGCTGGAGTTGAGCTGCGTTTTTAGGAACGGGGCATTTCTTGTAGAAACGGGAGAAGTTTCCCAGTGTCTCTCCTGCAGCCGTGGTGGTTTTCCCAGCGGCGAGCGGCTGCCAGCCCTGTGCTGGGAGTAGTAGAAAGCAGAGCTGTTATCGAGTGGCTCCTTATCACCTTGATAACGGGTGACGGTGCCAGGACCCCGCCCGCGCCGGCTGGGCGCTGGTAACAGGAGCCAGGAGAAGGCCTTGATGCCCTTTTTCCACAAGTGGCTCCCTGCAGGGATCATCCTGTTGGTGTTTCCCACCCATTGGGGTGTGAAAGTTCTGGGGCGCTTCCAAGGAAGCCCTGGTGACAGCAGGATGGAGTGCGACCAGCACAGCCAGGTCTGGCTGTTACCTCCACACGGGGACACCAGCACCTTTATTTTTTTTATATTTTGGGATTTATAAGCACCCTTTGAGAAGAGCACCCTGCTCCCTTCGGGGGATCGGGGAAGCTTTTCTGAGGAGCAGTAGATGGCCCCAGAGCCGTCACACGGGGGATGCTGAGGTGCTTTAGGGGAGCCCAGCCGGGTGAGCTGCAGTTGCTGGCTGGGTGCTCTCCGGTCCGGGTGGGGGCTGAGGGGCACTCCCGTGTTTCCCTGCTCTGGGGTCGGTGTGGTGCCGCTCATGGACTTCACAGAGCAATTCCTCACTGGAGTCTGTGCCTGCTCAATGCTGATGCAGCCCAGCTGGCTGCACGCTCAGTTTTGGCAAGTTACAATTCAAGAAACATCACTGCCATACTGTGGAAGGGGAAAAGAAACCCCTGTAATCAGGGCCTGCAGTTTCCCCGTGGTCCTGGCCCTTCCAAGAACAGCGAGAATGGTTGAATGACCTGGTCCAGCAAAGCACCTCTGAGGACTCGCTCGGCATGGAGCACATGGCTGCTCAGTGCTGCTGCTTAAAGCTGAGCTCGGGAGCTTTGTGAGATGGATTCAGGGTGAGGGGGATCATGGTGGCCTCTGCTCCTGAGCCACTCGAGTGTCAAAGCCTTTTGGGATGGACCAAGGTTATGGCATGGCTTGGTGGCTGAAGCCAGCCCGGCTCTGGTGCCAGCCCTGCGTGCCAAGAGGAGCCTTCTCATCACCCAATCCTTCTTTTCAGTGCTTGGGAAGTGCTTGGGGAGCACATGTCAAGCCCTGTGTGTTGGAATCACCCATGGAGGGTTGTCTCCCAGTGCAGATGATGGAAATGGGGTTCTTGGGGAGCAATTTGATGTTTTGTGTGACTCAATTTGTGGGTGTCCAGGCACAGATATGGGGCAGAGGGGTGCAGCACTTTCAGTAGCAAAGCCCATTTTGAAAGTTCAAGGTGGAACACCCATTGTTCAAAAATTTGGGAAACCTTGGTCTCCAGTTGCTTTTGTTTTGCACTGGATGTTTATAACCTTGGAAGAGTTCCTCCTACCCCTAAAGAGAAAGCGAGAGGGTTTGTTGATAAACCGAGCCCAGCACTAACCTGAAGTTTTGTTTTTCCAGAGTCTCCACCACCTCCCTACTCTCGGCTGTCTCCTAATGATGAGCAAAAGCCACTGGGTACGTGTTTTGTCTCTTTTGATCTCTGGGAACTCTTTCATGGTGCAGCCCCGGTGCTGGTTCTGAGACAGCCCTGCCTGGCACGCCAGGCAAAAGCCAACAAGTCGGGGTTTTATGGCTGCTCATTATTTCTGAGCAAGCATCAGCTGACAAGTTTTAAGAAGTAAATGGATGCCAGTTTATCCTACCAAATTACTGTGCAGACACATGCATATTTTCCAAAATAATATGAAGCTCTATTTTTAATGAAGGCGTAATGAAAGGTTACCAGACGTCATGTTTTGTCTGCGTGTGTAATCTGCGGGAGTGGGAGCTCCTGGGTGCCATTTCCATAAAGGCCTGGCTGTGCTGCTCCATGCAGGAACCAGCTATTACCCTTCCTCTGCTCCTTACAAAGAGATGGAAACCCTTTGAAACTCGGCGCTGTGTCATTTCGGAGCGGGGTGTCACTTCTCCTGGGGAATTATAAGAGGTTTTCCAAGCAGAGTTGGTGAGAGCAGCTTTGGGGTGGCTAGGCTGGGTGTGGAGTGCAGGATGCTGGCAGCCCTGGATCCTGGTCCTGTGTGCTGCACACTGGCCTGGAGATATTTTGAGCTGGCATCGCAGCATCCTCACCATCCTTTCTCATCTTTGCCTCTTGTGCAATTAAATGGGAGGCAAAGACACGGGAGCATGGGAGGGAAGGGAGGAATCCCACATCCCTCTTGGATTTCTTGCTGGGATCAGTGCAGCTGGGGCCTTTCTGCCTTTACCCCGTGGTCAGTGATTTGCTGGGGTTAATGCCCAGGGGAGCTGCTTTTGCTGCCGTGGGGCAGGGCCAGGGAGGAGACGAACGGGGCTTGGCAGGGATAGGAGGGGACAGCAGTGCCCGCCTGTCCCGCCCAGCCCCGGGGGAAGGCGCTGCTGCCCCTGCCAAGGCGAGGCCCTGCCCTGCCCGGCCTGGGAGCAGCTCAGCCATGTGTGCACCCCGCGCCTGCATCGCCACAGGGCTGTGACCAGAGCAGCCTGCAAGGCCAACTTGGCTTCTGGTGGCTTTTTCTCTTTTTTTTTGTTAGGTGTGGAGGCAAAAAAAAAAAAAAAAAAAAAAAAAAAGAGTTGTCCCTCCCTGTACTCCCCCTTCCAAGTTAATTCCTTTTAGAAACTGCTTGTGCTGCAGGGAGAGATGATAGTGAGGGACACGTGACTTTATTAAAACAACAGCCAGGGGTTGAAATTTGCTTCACTGGCTTGTTTGATTGGAAAAATAATAGTTAATCTGTGAGCAAACAGTTGAGCACTTAATTAGAGGGGTGTAAGCAAGAGAGAATAACAAAGACTCTTAACTTGTTAAAACAAAGTTTCCTTCGCTTCAGCAAAGAGGAAGGAAGGAAGCAAGAATAAACAGCTTCAAGAATTTTAATGGTGATAATTAAGTATAGTAACTCTGACTTGTTTAGAGGCTTAATGTAACTTTATCCAGTAAGCACCAAGTTCCTACTTGTTTGATCAACTTAACTGGAGTTATTTTTGTGGTCGAGGCAATTCAAACTTTGCATTTGCGTGGTGGAGCTCCAAAGTTAATGGCTGCTCTCTGGCTCTGTGCAGAGTTTCTCTCCTGGGGAGGTGGTGGGAAGCCCAGCAGCCACAGGTGCTCACGTAGCGCTGGCAAACGCAGCAGCACTAAAAGTGCTTTTTTTTCCTTTGTTTTCCTCCCCCAGATCTATCAGATTCCACGTTGTCCTACACTGAAACAGAGGCTACAAACTCTCCCAACGTCACGCCCGGAGATTTCTCAGGTTGGTTCTCAGCTCTTGGTGCTTTCCTCCCTCCATGGGGGCTGGTGGTGGGGCAGGACAGCAGGAGGGGATGGGGGTCCTGGTCCTGCTCTTGGTTTGTGCTCTGGCTGTGCAGAGAAGGACAAAAAGCAGTTGTTTGGGTTGGTTTTTCAGAGCCATCCCTGTTGTGTGTGCTGTGGTAAGATGCTGTTTGCGGGGTGGGCAGGGATGTTCGGAGGTGGCCACAGGGTCACATGTGTCCCATGTGGAGGCCACCAGGATGGGTGCCAGGCTGCAGGACTGTGGGGCTGGGCTGTGGGCCCTCCCCATGCCATGGCAGGGCAGAGGGGCCCTTGCAGAGCTGCTGCTCTGGGGAGGTTCTTGCTGGGACCGTCGGGCTGGTGTTACCTGTTGGGCCCTGGCCCCGGGCTGCGCTCCCTGCTTTCATGAGCAGCTCCCAGCTACGGAGCCATTGGAGATCCCGAACAAAGCTTGGCTTAATTAGGCCCTGGTTTTTGCTCTGCCCCACCCTGCAACCTTTCATTCACTTAATGGGGCTCTGCAAGGCCTGGGGTGGTTTTACCTGACAGCAGGTAGAGCTGGGGCTGTCCTTGGCTCAGCACATCCCACATCTCTGTCCCTGCTGGCTCACTGTGTGACAGGAGGGGCCTGGCTGTAGGACCAGCCTTAATTCCTTCGCCTGGTTCATGGTCTGAGAGCCAAACGTGGGGTTTGGTGGAGCCCCATGTGCCTCCTTCAGCAGCTGGGGTGGGGCTTGGGCGCCTCTGAGGCTCCTGGCTGGATTGCTGAGCACGTGGATGGGATGTGCTGCTCACCTGGGGATGCTGCCAGTCAGGGGAGGTGCTGGAGGGGACCTTTGGGGTGCTGGTGCCTTGGTTGTGGCATTTCTCTTCATTTTCTTTCCTTGCAAGAGTTCATGGTCAGTTTGGTGAGGCTTGGGCATTCCTGGGGATGTTTAGGCCAGTCCCAGCTCCAAAGGGTGTTCAAACAGCACAGGGTCTGTATCATGGCAGGGTGGCACACGTCTCTCTAGGGATTTTCCCTTCTCCTTGTCCTTTCAGGTGTCCCTGTGGTTGGGCCCACAGGCTTTTGCTGTGCTGCCAAGTGTCCAGAGCAGGGGAACAGTTGATAGCAGGACTGGGATCACTGAGCTTTGTGCTCTAATAAATGTGTTTGCAGTTCCCAACAAACGTTCCTAGGGCTGGATGCACATCCCTAAAGCTCCTCGTGCCCGTGGCTTTTGTTGTAACTTGATAATTGGCATTAATTACAGCAGCCAAGATGGAAAAGGGGGGTTCCTGAAGATGTAATGGTTTAGCTTCCCTCGTGGCTCAGTCTTTATGGGACATCTGGTGGGTTTGCTGGAAAGAAGAGAGATTTTAACTTTTCCTTGAACAATATAATGATAACATGTGACTGAGATTGTGCTGAAACCAGATCCCTCCTCTCCCCCTGTGCTGTTTCCAATGGTGTAACTTTTAATAAGAGTCTGGGGCTGGGTGATTTATTTTTCCCCAGTGCTCAGGATTGCTGAAAGAGGATAAGAGCCCTGCTGAAGTTAACCCATACATGTCATCACAGGCAAGTACAGGGGAAAAACCCACTTAGGCTCCAGTCTACCTGCCACATTTCAGTTTGTTTATTCTCCATTTCAGCTCATTTAATAGCTCTGCTTGAAGTGTAGGTCTGTGGGAGTGATACACAAAGCACGTGGTCCTCCCTGCCTTCTCTTGTGTACTCAGTGTGCATTTAGCTTGTCTTCCAAAAATAAGTACATTTTGGATCTAGCATCAAGCCACTGCTATTTATTGGTCCAGCTTTGATCATCAAAAAGGCTTTTCCTACTAAAGCCACAAAATTCAATTTTGCGTAACAAAGAGAACCATTCTTCTCCTGTTTCTCCTTTACTTGATGAACTTCTAAACAGGAGGTTTTAGGGTGAAGGCAAAAGATGATCTCTGTCATATGTGTTAATTTAAAAAAATAACAAATCCTGTTTTTGAAGTAGAACCTTCCAAGGCTAAAATATTACCCTTAAAAAGAGGGAAACAGTGAAGTGTCAGGCTCGCTGTAAAGTTCAGAGGAGCAGTCAGTGCTGACTGAAGCACAGGCTGTGGGTGGTTGGGTGGATGTGACCTGGATCCATGGATGATTCCCCAGAGCCCTCTTCATCTCCTGATCAAAGCATCTGGGTCTTGGAACAGAGTTGTTTGTACAAGGGTCAGTGTGCAGCCACAGCTTCTCCCTTGGAATGGGGATGCTCCTGTTTTCCCAGTGAGGTGCAGTGGCCTGGGAAGGTCTGGCTTGGTGGCCAAGGGCACATGGAGGTGTCTGACCCTGCAGTTTCCTCCTCCTGAGCTCAGGCAGTGCCACGCTCAGCACAAAGAGAGCTCCATCTTTCCCTCCTCGGATTCACTCCTGCCTGGGGAGCAGAGCTGAGCAGAACCTGCTGTTTGGGGTTACATTTGAAGCCCAGGTTGTTCCTGTGTGCCCCGGGAGCCAGCAGAGCCTTGGCCAGTCCTGGCGGCTCCCGCCGGGGCTGGGGAAATACCAGGGAAAGGGCAAAGCCCAGCAAGGCAGGAACAAAAGCTCAGCCTCGTGACTCATAATTGGTGGAACATTTGTAGTAATTTTTTTTTCCCTTCCCCTCAGACTTGGCTCCTCCAGCACTTGCCAAGAAGCTGCTGTACCCGTTAGACTTGCCAGGCGTGTGGAGGCTGAGCCTCTCTGCAGGGATGGGGTGGGATGGGATGGAGCAGCTGCTGTGGCTCTGGGATTGCCTGCCTTCCTCTGAATCCCACAGGGCTCTCCCTCACTGGCCCTGGCAGGGACCTTTTCATAAAACCCATGGAATAGCCCCATTCCTGTTGGAAAAGCCCCACGATGAGCCTTGGGCAGAGTTCTTGTTAGTGGTGGCTTTAAATAGGGGAGGGCAGGTGGGAGAGCAAAAGGTGACCTTGCATCTGTAGGTCTCTGTGCTGACCTGACCATCCCCAGGGAAGATGCTGGTTTGTTTTTTCCAAAAATAGTTGTTTTGGGTGTTTTTTAAACTTTGAAATCAATTCCCATGTGCTAAAACTCTTCAGGAGTTTTGAGCTCTGGTGAACCCGTGTGTAGCTGAAAATGTGCATCCTAAAGAAGAAATGTTGAATTGGTGGTTTGTTGGAGGAGGGATGAATTCTGTCCATGCTCCAAAGCAACAGGAAGGTGTTTTCCGCCTGGAAGTGGAAGCACAGGCATGAGTTTATTCCAGCAGCTCTGCTGATGTCCAGAAGGTGCTGAGCTCCATGTGGAGATGAGCTGTGCTTGGTGACTGATGGTGGAGGAAAGCTGAGAATTAACAGAGAGAAAAAACCAGAGTCTGAATGGGCAGGAGCTTATTTAAATTATTGCTGGTTTGGTTGGTTTGTTTTTTTTTTTCTCTTAAGATGGGGCAGTTTTTGCAGGGCAGTGGTGGGGCTGGGGGCAGTGGGTTTGGGGAGCAGGGTTCCTGCAGCACCAAAGGGAGGAAGAAGACAGGAGCATCCATCCCAGCTGGTGACTCAGCCCTGCTGAGGTGATGCCACAGCTCCAGGCAAGAGCCAGAGGGTTTTTTCTGCTCCCAGCAATATTTAGGATGAACTTAAGGAAGCATATTTTCAAACCCACTGAATGGAGAAAGTGAACGTCTCCCTTCCTCTCCCCCCCAGAAATAACAGGCTGCAGGATTTATGCTAACAAGGAAATTTATGAAGATCCTGTGTGTTAGGAGGTAGGAAAAAAAAAAAAAGCAGCCCATTAAATCTGTCAGGCGGATGTGTGTGGCAACTGGGCAAACATTGCCCTTTCCGGGCTGGGGGAGAGGCTCTGGAATTACCTGTTCATAGAAAAAAGGGTATTTTTGTCAGCAATGGGACAGCAGTTTCTTCTGGGGGGAAATGTTGAGTTTTGAGGACAGACTCAGTGACAGCTCTGGGCTGGGGGCTGGGTCTGGCCCAGCACCACCCTGGAGCCTTTTCATCCCTTCTCCCCTCCCTTCCTGCAGAAACAAATCCTTTAAAAAAGACACGACCTATCTGTGCATCCAGTTTAATCACAGACAGATGTTTGTTTGGGCCAGTAAGGGTTTTGGTTTCTTTTTTTCTTTCATATTTAACTGTAGGTTTGCTGGCTTGTCTTCCCCTGTGCAGTCTAGAACAATCAGGGTTTGGCCAAAGCCTCTCCTGGTCGGAGGAACGAGCCCGTTGCCAAGAGCTACTTCTTTGATGCAAAAAAATACATCCTGGAGGTGCTTTGTCAGATGTTTTTATATTAAACAGCTTTCCTCCATAGTTTCACTCTGCCAACGGGAAATAAAGTGCATCTATTTTCCAGTGTGCTTCAGAGAGGAATTCTCTGCTCGCTGTGGAGGCTTTTCCCACTTGGCTGGGGATGGCCATGGGTGTTGGAAGCCCATGGGAGAGCCTCAGAGCAGCAACCTGCCCTGCCTGGGGCTTTGCTCATGGGCAGCTTCTGGCCCTGCCTGGGGCTGGCATCGAGGCAGCTTCTGCAGCTGAGGGTGAATCATGGATTAATCCCTGCAGGGAAGGTGGGGAAGCTCTGGGAGCTGCTCCCAGGGCTTTCAGGGCTGTGCCTTTCACAGAGGTGCAGGTGTGCTCCTTTCTTTTATACAGAGATGTCTGTCTGGGGTGGTGATAAACCCCTGGAGCCAGTGGATTTATGGAGGGCAGGGGGTTTTTCCACATCCCATTTGTGCTTGCCAAGGTGGGGGCTCAGGTGGCAGCTCCTGCAGTTCTGCCATTCCTTTGGAGCAGAAGGTGAAGGGATCATTGACTCTGGAGCCAGCTGGGCTCCTCATTGTGTCCAAATCCTGTTGATTCCACCTGGGAAAATCATGAGCAGATGAAGAAGCTGTTCAGAGCAACGAGCAAGCAGCAATTAAAGAAATTTTTTTTTAAGAGTTAGATGACTTACAAATGGAAGAGAAGCACCCTAGATCAAGGCTGGAGGGAGATATTACC